GGGCAGTCAGGGTCTGTAAAAATGCACAGCCGTGGAAACCTGGCGGTGCGGTTTCATACTGTCCCATATGGCCACTCTGAGTCTAAACTGATGGAAGAGCAGGGGTTTGGTTTAGGGGACTATGTGCTAAGCTCCGTGACGAAGACGGGCAAAAACAAAGAAACGCACATTGGGGAAGAAGGGAAAGAGATATTAAGAAACTGTAAATTACAAAATCTTTTAGCTCAGAACCCATCAGAAGATACAGGTTTAGGAAGTATATAACCTGGAGATACAGTGTGGGAATTGCACCCAATCTGACCCCACCACACAAGGCCAAACACTAAGGGCATGTGTGCAACAGAACAGAAAGGGGGGCAGAGCACGGAAGTCCTGAGGGAGTACCAAAAATAGATTTGGGGGCCAAGGCCTCCATCAGACTCCACCGGAAAACACTCCCAAAGGTCAACAAACAGACCTTTAACTATTTACAGGCTTTTCTTTTTTGTCATTGTTTTTTTTTGTTGTTGTTGCTTTGCTTTACTGTCTTGTTTTTGTGCATATTATTATCTCTGCAGGTCTATCTAGATAAGATAGGCTGGATAAACAATCTGGAGAAGAAAACAATGGGACTGACCGTTTCAGGGGGGCATGGGAGAGGAGGAGGTGGGGGAAAGGAAGGGGTGTTAACAAACCCATAGACAAGGGAACAAGTGACCCAAAAATCAGTGGCGAGGAGGGTGTAGGAGGCCTGGTAGGGCATGATCAAGGGCAATGTAACCTACAGGAATTACTGAAACCCAAATGAAGGCTGAGCATGATAGTGGGACAAAAGGAAAGGAAAAGGAAATAAGAGGAAAGAACTAGGAGGCAAAGGGCATTTACAGAGGTCTAAATACAGGCATGTACATATGTAAATATATTTATACATGATGATGAGGAAATAGATCTATGTGCATATATTTATAGGTTTTGTATTAAGGTCACAGATGGACATTGGACCTCCACTCAAGTACTCCCTCAATGCA